TATCGGTACTTTTAAGAAACAGATTGTTGTATGCGATGAATCATATTGATGATTTGAAACACATAACCCATTTTACAAGCGCCAACACGCAAAAGCACTCATAAAATAGCCCCCAAAATTTTGCAATGGTAAAGTATAGGAAAAATTTTTAGGGGGTTAAGGTCGGGGAAAGGTTCATTTGTCTGTCTGTTAGTCACTTTCGTATGTTAAGCGATATCTCACGAAAGCGAGGTTGAATCTGCTCCAAATTTTGCATGTACAATGTCAAATTTTTAAAATCTGTCACACCCGGAAATCAAGCGGTTTATACAATACACGCCAGTCGCCAGTTTTATGTGCCATGTCAAACCTCCTCCATGAGTAAGGCTGTTAAATACCACTTATACATAAAGGGCCATTCTTGGAAAGACAGACTGTAATCTTCATATTACAAATTGAATAATACCGAAATGGTTTGAACCAGCATTTCTAGAGTTAGCACATGAACAAACGAGAATATCGGTCAGAGACCGAAGACTTGTCGATCGAAAGTTAGGGGATCCCAATACAGCGCTCTTACTCCATAGTGACACCTTGTGTCCCTCCCTTATTAATTAATAACTCGCTAATTATACGACATAATTCATCCAAAATCAATAGGCTCCTGGTACGACGTACGATATGATGAATGCACATGCAAAATTTGGAACAGATTCAATCTCGCTTTCGTGAGATATCGCGTGCATCTAACAGACAAACAAACAAACAGACAGACAAATACCTATCAACATACTTACCGATTAAAATCGTAAGTAATAAGCCAATATATCCACAAGAACTGTGATCATAGAATATTAGCTTTTTTTCGCAATTTTAACTTTTTCCATATAGTACGTGCCTAGTGTTTATTTTCTTTACACACGTATTGGCATTTATTGCTTTGCTTTATGTTGTCTATATACAATTGTTATGTTGCATTACATATGTGTTTGATGTAATAGGTTTTTGAGTATTCCAAATTCCTAAATAATAAGATTGATACTCTTGACACATTCTAATTTTTCAACTTCAATACTCCACTGCAGAGAAGGCTTATTACTTATCAACATACATATCGATTTTCTGTCTGTCTGTTAGATGCACGCGATATCTCACGAGAGCGAGGTTAAATCTGCTCCAAATTTTGCATATGCATTCATCATATCTCGGACCAGAAGCCTATTGATTTTGGATGAATTATATCGTATAATTAGCGAGTTATTAAATAATTAGTTATGTGACACGCGGTGTCACTATAGAGCAGTGATTCTCAAACTAGGGTTTGAGAGCCGCATGCGGCTCTCAGCAACCTTCTCTGCGACACTTGGAAAAGTTTTTAGACATGGCTGTAATCATTGGCTTGCTTTCGTAGATTTTCAGTTTTTGTCGCATTTCCGAATATTATGTATAAATCAAATCACTCGATGATTATATTATTTTCTAGAGCATTCTATTTTTGTTCCAGTAATCGAAAAATAGTCTCGAAATATCTGGCGATCATCTCAAGCAGCTATTGCACCTTGCATCCTCCACGATTACGAGCCGCTTTGACAAACTTATTAGAAATCAAAGCCAAATTAAATATCTGTTCGGTTAGGGTGGAAAAAATCGATTTTTTTTTTTTTCGAATCGAATAATTTGAATATTTGTAATACCGAATAGTCGAATATTGAATATTTTTTTAAACATAACAGAACCACTGCTTTAAACAGTGCTGAGGTAACGGTTAAATACTACCTAAACGTTTTACGACTGACTCTTTTTTATAGTACTGGGAAGAGCCAGTCGTTTAACGTCTCTCCATAAAGTCGATATTTTTAAAGAGCGTTCCTCGGTTGTGATTGATGGCTACAAAAATATTTTGATTTTTGATATACAGTCAGATTTGGGAACACGAATATATCGTGCCATTCCTTTACGTAAAACAGTTGACTGTAAGCCAACCTAAGGACAGGGCAGAAGCAAATTTTGTTTGTAATATGGATTAATACGACACTTACTATAGCGCCTTTTGCTTGTAATAATTCTGGCGCTCCCAGATGGCGCACAACCTGAACCCTAACCTGGTACACATACTATAATCAGGTTATGCGCCTTTTTGGTGCACATACTTCTGGAGGTCCATAATTCTGATAAAAGCACCCACTGATATCTAGCAATATCTTGAAGAATCTCTCAAGTCTCAACAGACTTACTTCGCTGACGGAACAATTTCTTTAATATGACGTAATAATACGCTTACTCGCCCGATTTCTCTCCGAACAAGACCAATATAAGCGGCCATTGATAACTAACGATATCTTAAAGAATCTCCATACAGACTTATCTCACCCTAAGTAAGAGACTACAAAAGCGCACCAAGTCGGTCGGTTAATAGAGGATGAATTGATAGTAAGCCCAAAAATGTCAAACGTCAATAGTTCACGAATAGAGCAGAAAATTGTTGAAAAATACGTACCAATTTATGTCCATAAATGCCCCAAAATCGCTTTCAAAATTTAATTTTAGATTTTTTGTACAGATCCTCTACCACCGCTCAAAATAAGAATAATTAGTTATTACCTAGTTAGGGTGAGAACTGGGAATGCAGATTGCGCTGAAACTTCAAATTTTCAAACCATTACGAACCCTTACTGGAAAATTACTAATTTGATATTTTGAAACAAGGCGGGTACTTAGGGCAAAGGATCCATTTTCATTTAGAGGGGAGGGAGGGGTGGATACGCGAGATGTCAATAAAGACGTAACAAGTGAAATTGGCGCTACCGTAGTATGTGCAACAAGATGGCGGACACCTGAACATAGTATGTGTACTAGGTAAGTTTTAGGCATAATTTTATTCCAATTTTTCCTTATTTTAGTTCAAATACGAGTTCGGGGACTAACCAAGTGACTCCCGTGGTATTTGTACCTGGAATTATGGCCTAACCCTAACCTGGTACACATACTACGTTCCGGTGTCCGCCATCTTGTTGCACATACTGCGGGAGTACCGTGAAATTATTATGAGCGCTCACAATTTTTCAGTCTGGAGGATTTTCAAGGTAAACATAAGCTCGCTTCAGTCGTGTTTCCGATATTTAGCAATGAGTTAAATATCTTCATGGTAGTTTTACCTTCCGAGAATGCTTTTCTTGGTCTGAGATTCAAAAGTGTGAGAACATGATGTTCAGATTGTGCGCCATCTTGGTATGAATACTTCGAGGACACCGGATTTTGAAGCATGGTGGTAAACATAAGCTCGCTTCAGTTATGTATACAAAATTTAGCAATCAATTAAATACTTCATGATAGTTTTATCTTTCGAGAATGCTTTTTCTAGGTCTGAGATTCAAAATTGAAAGAACATGTTTTTGTTGTATCGAACTCAGTAACAATAAGTTTTCTCATTTCAGAAAATGTATGTAGACCACTACGTAAGATATATGGCACGCTTCATATAAATCTAATACATAACTTTCGGAACGCCAACTATGACGCTAGTCGTCAGCTGCGATCCACCCATGTGTCGCGATCGTCTATTTCAGCGTTTCCCAAACTTTTTGAGCCGCGGACCCCCTGTTTTAGAATCTAATTTTCGACGGACCCTCATTCTATGCCGTATCAATGTGTCTAACTAACGAAGAATGGTAATGTTTTTAATTTACATCACAATAACACAAACGATATTAATGTGTTAGATGAGATTGCTTTCGACTGCACAATTTACCAATTGTCGTAGCAATTTGTGATCAGCTAACTCGTAAGTACGACTCAACGCCAAGTCTCGCCCTGTATTTTGTCATCGAATTGGTAAAAGATGAAAAAGCTGCCTCAAACATGCAGGTTTTTCTAATTGCCCTTTCTGACAGCAATTTCGTCTGCAACGTTCCATCAAAAATATGCAATGGCTTCAAATCAGTCATTAAAGATTGATCAGGCTCTCAATATCGTCGCGGACTCCCTGTGCAGTCATCACGGACCCCCCGGGGTCCACGGACTCCAGTTTGGGAAACCCTGGTCTACTTTAACGCATGCGGCTTTTTACCAAATACCCGTAAACAAAACTTCAAAATTACTAGGGTCCGGTCTTTACAGAAATTATACTCGACATCCTCAAACGCGCAATTTCCTGGTGTTACCGTTCTTTTCATATATAGACAGCTGCAAATCATGAGATAACCTTTAAATATAGACAAATCAAATCATAAAAATTTTTTACATATCCAAAGTAGGGCCAATGATTCCAAATAAAGAATCACATGCAGTCCGAATCAAATACTCGGAAGGTCCGGATTCGGACCGCGGTCCGCCAGTTGAGTAGCCCTGGTCTAAAGTAGTCTAAAATTTCGCTGATATCACAATCTTCCAAGGAAGGGTTTGCGAAAATCAACTGTATCCCTACAGCATGCCTACAGCAAAACGTTTGGATCTGGCAGCTAAGTGTGAGACCTGAATTAATCCAGGTCAACACTAAAATTATTTCAGGGCGGACTGCCATGCAGTGTTACATTTTCTTTTTTACTAAAACAATTTTCAACGTATTTTCTCATGAAAAGCAATTTTGCGGCAATCTCAACACTACCTTGCCCTTTGAGTAAGCGATTCACTGAAAACCCGACGATTTTTGTTTACTATCAATCCCTTTCCCCAAACGAACCAACTGAGATCGACGAGATTGAGTGCTTGTATGGACTCGATAACTTACAGCGAAGCAAGTCTGTGAAGAACTTCTTCAAGATGTTGTTGGATATCAGTTGGAGTTTGTACCAATGCTTTGCTTGGAGCGAAACGTGCAAGTAAGCGTCGTATTGACAAAAAAAATTGCCCTTTTCCTCATAAAAAATGGGGTTGGCTAAAATGGCTACGCACTTGGGCGAGTTCGCGCTTATACCTTTAACGAAGAGTCACTAAATGTGCCTTTACTTGCAATTAACACACTATACAAAGGCGGATGCTAACTCCGGTCGCTATATTATAGACTCCGTACACATTCAAGAAAGCCATATCTTCAACATAGATCTTTGTTCATTAATTAAGCAAGAAGGCAGATTTTCAAATCGAATTTTTTTAAAAATGAGGGATCGGGTATCTTACAATTTAAAACTGTAATATAATAAATATACAACGTCCAAAACTGTGTGAATAATGTGATAGCCAGAGTAGGATAGAATTTTTATACCGGGGGAGAGGAAAGTCGATAACACGTCATAATCACGTGACAAACCACGGTCTCTCGTCCGGTAAAAGAATCGTTTGATTTGAATGCAACGGAAGAGTACCAAAAACATTCGAAACTATTTTCAGAAAAGCCCATTTGAATTGCATTATATCAAAATTAGACGATGAATGTGTATTTTTTGGACTTATAACAAGAGTATTGAAAATAATTGAGCCATTATAAAGTATTTCCAGCAGCTTTAAAACCTCCACACTATACAGAACTAAATGTAATGCTCAGTGTGGTTATGAAACGGTATAGGAACATATATATACCAAAGCATGATTCGGTATTGGTTAAAGAAAAGCAAAATTTCACTTTTGTAAACAAACTGTAACAAAAATTTATACGGATATAAAAGAAAGTAAAATACACCAACATTTAAACGTAATTCAGTTTAGATCTATATTTGATATTTCGTACACGGTATTTCAAGAACCATAAGGCAGTTAGGGGTGTTTAATTTCTACATAAGGCCATCGGGCTATAAGAGGCAACGGTTTCTACGAAGTTAAAGACGGTGGTTTGTTTATGAAACAATAGTACCGGTACTGGTTTTGCGTGTAGGTAATAACGATCGATTTTTGAGGAAAAAATAGGATTTGAAAGGTGTCTTATGGTCCTTAAAATACGGTATTCATTCAATTCCGTGAAAGTCAATACGTAGAAATGTTAGTGATATTTCCATTTACAGGATTAATTCGGGTATTCACAGATTGCGTAGTTGGAAGCAGTGCAAGCAGCGCTGTATGCATGGCCATTAACGACGTTAAGTGAGGCACACTGGTTGTAGTCAGCTTGTTTCGGTTCCATTCGGCTCCAGATGGTAAATACTGCCTTAGACATATCTTTTGGATGAGTCCACTTGTCTGGATGGCCAGCGTTTGTTGAACCGATCCATGGTAGCCCGGCTGGGTCACTGTGGGAATAAAAATATGAATTATAAAAGTGAGGAAATTTAGCATAAGTTTGAAGTAAAAGTTAAAGTAAAGACAGTTTTGAAAGTTATACTATGAATACACATTACGCAGATGAACACAAAAAATACATGGAGGCATTGTGAATAAATATACAAAGGTTAGTATTCGTATAAACGACCTGAATGTAATAGACAGAATTATCATATTTATCCGAGAAGAGAAGAAAGCACATAACTTGGCTTAATCACATAGCAAACAATAACTGTCGTTTGGTTACCAGGCGTTTATACAGCGACGGACAACACGTTGAAGTAAGCTTTTTGTTGATAAATGAGTTTGGTCTTATTCATTTTCGTTGATTAGTTTGATGATTTATGAGACATATACACGTATACAAGGACTTTAGCAGGTAAAGAAACTGTGATTACGACGTGTTATCGATTTTTTTCTCAACTTGAACATGTTTGAAGGCTCAGAGTCAAGGTTAAATCTAAATAGTCTATTAAAGCCTCGCTTTGTTTCAATAATATAAAATCCTTACGTGAAAGCGATTCCCACAAGTCCCTTCAACCAATAAGTGACCTGAACCCATCTTTCAACTCCGGTCATTTCAATGAGATCTCCGCCCATCTGTTGACAGAACCGTCTGTAGTCGTTGAACGATTTTCTTCCAGAGTCCCTTCCGTGGAAGACAATGCAACTGTCAGTCAATCGTAGCTGCCTGTACTGCGACGCAGGGCATCGTTGGACTCCTGTTGAGCATGCCGGCATTATGCATGTTCGGCTTTGAACATCTTCGCAATTCGGCCTGCTAATGTCGCTACAGAATCGTTTTCTCATATTCAGACCGCGTCCACACGTCTTGGTGCATGGTGACCAATCGCTCCATTGTCCGTACGCCATCCCTATGACCTTAGTCATATCTGAATAACAACGTTGCCAGTTTTTATTAGTTGTTTTAGGATAACGCTTTGTGGCTAGAGTGTTGGGCTTATTTATAATGGCATCGCAGGTTTTCTATATGACGTATACATTCACGCTACGAATATGCACAATCATGTTATAATGTTATAAATCTCAGATTCAAACCTCATGACCTCACACACGATGTAATAAATAAGGTGAACAACCCCAGTTCGCAAAGCTTGCGGTGCTTCAAAACATAGTAGCAAAGTATAGTACGGAGTACGGTGAAGACGCAAACATGCGATATAAGATGAACTATAAAATCTGTTCTGAGTATTCACACTTTGTGTAATCGCCTTCCACCTAACACTTTTCTGAGAGTGTTAAACTGCTCAAGTCTGTTTACTGACATTTCTGTCTTAAAGAATGGACCTATATACAGCTTTCATGGACCTTTCCCCGAGTTTCGACTTCCTTGTTTACTTCGTGACATTGGCCAATCGGCAAATTGCAAAAAGTGACGTAACAATGCTCCCTTTTCGCATCCGCTCAGACACTTTTCTCACTCAGACAGATTTTCAAGCGTGGTCGTAAACAATACCTCGTTTTCGCATTTTTAAATTCTATTCGTTAGTTTTCAGTTGTGTTTTGGAAACTTAAATGTAAATCAGATAATTCAATGGTCATCCTGTCTTTCTAGCAGTTTTAATTTAATTGCAGTAATAAAAATTAGTGTAGAAATACCTGTGATAGATTAGGCTAAAATTCTTTAACGGTACTTTTAAAAAACAGATTGTTGTATGCGATGAATCATAATGATGGTTTGAAACACATACCCCATTTCACGGGCGCCAACTCGCAAAAGCACTCTTAAAATAGCCCCAAAAATTTTGCAATGGTAAATGATAGGAGGAATTTTTCGGGAGTTAAAGGTCGGGGAAAGGTCCATTAGTTTCAGTAGTCACTTGCAAATATTTTGTCAGTACTTCAGTTGAAGTTTTGGGTCCGCCCTCTTGTGTACCATAAAGTATACTGGATGATATAACTTACCAGTAGGTTGTGGGCATGGGTTATCGAGACAGGATCTGGTTTGGACTTGTTCGCAGTTAGTTGTTGTTGCTTTTCTCACACATTGCCTTGTTCTTCTTGTGACTCCCATTCCACATGTGGCGCTACATTCTTCCCATATACCCCATTCTAGCCATTCAGGAGTTTCTGGTACAATAACTGTCAAAAATGTTCGGAATTAGTTTGATTATATTATTACTGTATATATAGTTAATGGAAAATTATGCTTTTGTATTCTATGGAGAAATTGCAAATTTGGATAATAGAAAAATCGTATTATTTCGATTGCAAAATGGTATAAATATATTTGTAGGCTAATTCCACAATAATTTGACGATTTACCATCAATTTACACAAATACAGTAAATAAGCGTCCACATACAATTGAATTTGGTTTGAAGGATTTGCAAAAACTATGTAAAATAAACAGGGGATAAAACTTGTGGCCACGTTTTTCAAGCCTTAAACATAATGTATTATCGTGCAATGATAATGCATCAAATTTGCATGTTTTGATGAATAATGATTTTATTATTGTTGCCGCTAGGTGTCAGCCGTGGACAACAAGGAAAATTTAAAATGCATTGATCGAATGAAGAACATTCGTATTAATGACGTAACAAAACAGTGCAATGATGCGTATAGATTAACCTTGTCTAAGATGTACATGGATGACATTGATTCGTGATTGGATGATCAATATCAGCAAAGAAAAGAAAAATCATTATAAGAGAAATCGATTCAGACAAGTTAAACATAGAAGTAGAAAAAAAGAAGTCATGTCGGGCAAAAATGTTACCGTGCTGAAAATAAAGTGATTTGGGTTTCCAACTCAACTATGCCACATTTTACTGTGATTTTATTACTTGGTCTGCGTTCCCTGCAAGACTGTGCGTTACACGGTCGACTGTCTATATCGGTACAATCTGGCAAGTTATCCCGACATGCTCGAGCCCGGTAAGATTTTCCGCCATCGCAACTTGCAGTACAGGCAGACCAGTCTGTCCAAGGGCCCCACACTCTGGTTGCAGGCACGACTAAGTGAAATATGTGTTAGTTACTAGTTAGGCATTGGTTAGATTTTTGACATGCATGATATATTTTGATGTGTGGGCGACGGTAGTAATCCCGTAATTGCTCCGTGGATAATCCCGACTAAATACGCAAGTTTAAATTCCATCGGAACGATTAGAGGTAATTCCATCTAGGTTACCACCTACGTCCATGTATATGGAAGGATAAATCTACTTGGACTTATTGACCAGACAATTGATTAAGCCAATTTGTCGCCTTTTCTCTTCGCATCATAGTGCCCATTGCCCACGAAGGAGATAGCATGTGGGTACTTATTTTGAATGAATTTTTATGACACAGTGAGACACGAGTTGGTAACTTTCCATACTTAATGACAACGGCATAATGTATCACAATCGCTATTTTAGTACTGAAGTTATTAGCATAAGGGTTTGGCGCTTTACTATACCAACCAAAGATTGTTTTTCCTGGCAATTCCGCGGCGCAAGTTCTTGTGCCTTATTTATCCCAATGGAGTGGCGTGACGTTTTTTTGAGCAAAGACTCATAAAAGACATCATTCGACGTTCCGGCCTTAACTAATATGAATTGCATTTCACCCCTACCAGTCATGCACAAACTAAAATCGTTTAGATTTGGTTAATATGCTACCCTGTTAGTTTATTATTATAGGTCAGTAAGTGATGTTACGGACCATGCCAGATATGAACGTTAATTCATTACTTCGTTCGTCATCTTGGCAGGGTTGTATATTACACATCCGACTTTCTACATAAGTGCATTCTGGCAACCCATCTCTACAGGCACGAGCTCGGTATGCCGTCCCTCCATTACACCGTGCTGTACAGGCTGACCAACCGGTCCAAGCTCCCCATACCCTCTCCACTGGAAATGGGTATAAAGTTTGATTAACATAGGAGCTATTTACTCTCACTAAAAGCATATTTACTACATTCAAGCATTAGTTTTCTCGGCCTAGTAATATTTCCAGGGATCAAAATGAATTCGGTTTATTATGACATAATAGTATTCAAAAGCTTTTTGGCATCACAAATACACCTAACAGCATATTTGTTACTAGCCATTTGTAAAACGCAGTAAAGGAAATATTCAGAACACTCTATAAAAAGCCTTAATCACCTGACGACGCCACTAGAACCAAGCAGTTCAGTACCATTCAATAGCATAGTTACGATTAAGCCACCATATAGTATAATAATAAACCTGTGCCGTTTGCAGTAAAACTTTTGTTCCCACTCTTAATTTTGGACGAAATCAATATTTTGGCTTTATACTAATGCACCAATCACCATTCAGACTAATCGAGACCTTTACTGCTTCTTCTTTTTGAGAGAATACACTACGCGCACCAACCAAGCTTTCCTATATTTGTTTTCGCCCCTCATCTTCTAGCAGAGAAGCTATTACTTTTTGGTATCCCCGGTTTACTTCTTTCGTTTTTGCTCGTTTTTACACCCTCGATTTAACCAATGCTCTATACAACCATTTATTGTCTCACTTAGAAGATAATTGATTGAGTATTTCATATTTATATTAACTTAACGACATTGCCTACTTCTGTACCATTTAGCCCATTCCGAACACGAAAAACGAAACAACGTCGCACTTCGTCATTGGGAATTTACAGAATTTATTCTGACCGGTTGTCCTTCATTGATTTTTCCTGGGGAAAGAGCCGAATGATACCAAAGTAAACCAGATTCGTATATAAGATAAGAAAAACGATTGGAACGCGGTGGTACGGAGTTTTCGGGACAGTATTCATTTTTCAGGCAAATAAAAAAATAAATGTAATTGCCTAATCAACTGTTTAGCAGTTTAAAAAGTTAGAAAAAATGTAAAATTATTAAACAAACAATAAAACAACAATTTTGCTTTTTATTCATACCTTTTGGTGGTGTCGGACAAGGCTGTTCATTACAGATAACGCTTTCGGATTCTTCGCACTCAAAGTCATCTGGGAACATCATCATGTACTCAGGGGCGCAGGTTCTTGATCTGACGGAAACTCCGCCTCCACAATCCCTGGTGCATGGATCCCAGGATGACCATGGTACCCATTTTGCAATGGCGGCTGCAGTAGTTGGGGGCGCCATTGTTGTTGAAGGTTCTGTGGTAGAATAAATATTAATGTAACAAGATATCGGTGCGAAAATATATTGGTTTCCACCGATACTTTAAACACTGTTTGTTAAGTACTACAGTACTAGCAACGAAATATTTCATCGCAGAGCGTGGTGACGCAATTTTCGTAAAATCAGGCGTCTCAAAACTATCTGACAGCTTGTAGTTGATAATAGAAGTAATTTTTCTAACAACAACAAATTTCAAAATCTCAATCCAATCAGTAATGGCAAAATAGAAATGACGCATTTCTCCATAACCGAGAAAGTTTTAATATTAATTAAACGAGCGCCATACTGCTATGCAAAGATGTGAGTTCTCCGTTTCGTCGAAAAACATTGCAATAATGATGCATCATGTAAATAAAATGATCTTCGCTGTAAATTGGTCTCTTCTTCGAACGAACAATGTCTTTTACGTTCTCACATTTCACAAATCACGATTAGCGGATAGTTGCAGCAAGAAGTCTGCACTGTGCAGTTAATAAATGCCACCACTGTTTTGCAGCGGCGAGTCACAAGTATACCCGGACTGTCAGTCTTTTGCTAGCGTTAGCATAGCACAAGAATCGATCACATTTTTTGGGCCGAAATTATGGAACTCAGTGCCTAATAGTATTAAAAGGTCGAAAACGACGTCCGAATTTAAATCCAAGCTTAAGAGGCATTCATTGGAATTCTATTAGATATAGTGCGTCTAATTTTCAGACATTGTCTTTCAAATACAAAGGGCTCATAAAAGTTGAGAAAAGATTTAAAGAGATGAAAAATATCTCCAACTGATCAACCATGTCATTATGCGACAAACCTCCATTGATCGGAAAACAATGCTAACGCTATGGGCGTTAGGTATTATATTACTATGTTTAAAACAGTTTACACACTGTTCAAATGGGACAGCCCTTCCATCTATTTACTAATTTTTTGTACATATATGGAGGGTATACAGGATTCAAACACATTTCATTTGGTTAAGATTGTGATAGGATTTAAAGAATTTGATCAGTACCATTAAATTGAATTCCTGTCACACAATTTTTTTTATCGCGATGACACCGACATGTTTTATGAGGCAATCTCCGCAATCACTGTGAACAAGTGGTCCCGAATGTTCCCGAAGCCAGAGATCCTTTGAGCGGAATCGGAATCTTTCGGCGTATACAGAGATCTCGAGGGCTTGTGGTTTCGATAATGAACGGATTGTACAACGCTTGATATCTTAAATTATAGATACCGAGATCATTAAAAAATCGGAAAGCTTACCGCCCATATTAGTCCCAATATGTACAAGTTTCAGTTTTGCCCCAACTATAGATCAATGTCTCCTGGACTTTTATCACAAAAAAGTTTAATTTCTAATTGCAAAGATGTCGTCATATGAGTTTTACTCAGAAAATCACATTATGCTCGGCGTAATAGCACGTACGTCACTCTCACCTTATTTGACTAAAATTGCCTCAATTTAGCAAGCATTGAAAGGAGAGTAATAAGCTAAACTTATTGCCCGACCACAATTATTCTGATATCTAATACTTTCAAAGCATTATGAAATTGCTTAAGCTGGCAAAATTATCATATCAAATATAGATCATAGCCTAAGGCACAGGATGCCAGGGTACGGCCTGCGTCAACCTTATGACACTATATACGCTAATTGATGACATGGATTTATAAACGCAATAATGTGGCGAAAGCTTGGTTTTGTTTCTATTTAAATATTTCCGTGATATTTTAGGCCACGAAGCTGGAATATTTAAATTCTTAGTTTCACTCATTTTTTCAATAAATAAATCGAGTTGTATATTCCAATATTTTCAATCAGCTCAGTGGTTTTTCACTACATTTACGCTAGCCTGGTATACCACAAAGATGGATTAAAATAATGGTAGTTTTGGGCTGGGAACGAAGTGATTTGTACGAAGTGAAGCGTTAAAGGGTATCAACAGCGACTAACTACATATAGATTTACCAAATGCAACATCACAAGATTCCACAATGGGTAAGAAATCACATGAATTTAACGAGAGGACAATATAGACGCATAAGCATTCACACAAGTACCTCATCGTCAAAAAACGCAAGCTTAAAACAAACTTCCCGTTATTGTTCAAATAAGGAATATGGTCTATCTAAATTACCAATCGAATGGCTTCTACCATAGAATACTATTGCTTGAGGTGCCATTAGATTAGGACTAGAAAGAGATGAGTCACAATCTCCATTTGAACGAACTTTGGGTGCTCCCGAAGTATGTATGCGAACCAAGATGGCGGACATCGGAACGTAACAGGTTAGGGTTAGGCGATAATTTTTTTCCAATTTTCTTTATTTTAGTCCTATTATCAGTTCGAAAGCTAGCCAAGAGCCTCCCGTAGTATTTATAGCTAAAATTATGGCCTAACCCTAACCTAGTACACATATTACATTCCGATGTCCGCCATCTTGGTTCGCATACTTCGGGAGCCCCGAACTTTGTACTAGGCTACTGGCTTCGGTATGTAGTCGGATGACGGTGGATGGGGATGGATATATGGGCCCCAATCATCATTTGAATGGTCTCTTTTGTAGATTATTGGGATGGCTCTATAGATAGCTGGTTTGAATTTTCACTAAGGATTGTATTATGTTATATAACGACACATAATAACAGTCGAAATCATTTTGTGTCAAAATATGAAAATGATACTCGAAAGTGAAATCGGAGTAAATATTTAGGTAGAAATATGATATTGTTAAAAACATCAGGGCTTGGAAACAAGGCTGTAAACATATATTGTCATATACATAAATATATTGCATTTTATCATAACATTGACGTGCATATCCCTTAACTTAGCTGTTGGAATTGAGAGTTTTAATCGAGGTTATACGTAGTCTACGAAAGATTCAACCACATCTGTATTAGGCCAAATTACTGTTACTTTCATTATTTAGCGTTGTCTTATACCAGTCATGCTCAATATGATATACTTAAGCAAAGTGCTTTACTTGTATCATAATACCAAAGAGTTCTTTAAATTCTATAGAGCGCTGGAGGCTTCACGATATTAGCAAAAAAAATAAGATTTTCACACCCTTTGATGAAAATTATAAAAATGGGTGTAAACGAGGTGTATGTGTTTATGAAAAATGTTTACGATAAGGTGAAAAAATGGTTTGTATTTTATTCAAATGTGCTTTAAACTAAGCCTGAAATTACATCGAATTATATTGCGATATACAAGTTCATTCAAATGGAGGTTTTCGGGCCATATATCCATCCCCATGGCAATCCCATTTCGAATTAATTTAAATTTTGCATTTTTGTATAAATAAGCTTTCGACAAAGATAAATGTGGATGATACAAGACAAAACGTTTCATTTCGTAAAATTTCTCAAACTGATCGGATACCCGTGAAACAGGGATTCAGGAATTCTTATGTATGAGAAACCGAAATCCATATTGGTATTAAGTTAATCTGAAAGAGTCGTTTTCTAATCAGGAATGTATAAGTGTAAGCCTGCGATATCTGATTAATAAGTTCACTACAAGATATGGGCGTACCTGTCGCTGTCTTGCGCGCTAGGGACGGTATGTAACCTTGTATTTATTTATTTGTGACGTATCATAAATTATTCGAAAAATCTCTCGTGACAAGAATTGATAAACAAAGCGTGCCAGATCACCGTGATAGTTTTGTTTATTTGAAGTTCGCTTTCTATTTTTGTCGACCGTAAATTAAACATTAGCAAATACCGTAATGTGCTTGAAAGGTGTTTAAAACATATTTTATGTTATGACAATGCGAAATGCTTGTTTCAAAAGTATATTCGGTTGCAGTGCAGACTCGGTGGCACACCGGAAGTGTGTGTACCAATATGGAGGTAACTAATTTTGTCCGCCTACTTTACAAGGGTACGGGGTATATTCACTTGGCTAACACAGACAGTCCCCGAACTCGTAATAGAACTAAAATAAGGAAAATCGGAATAAAATTATGGCCTAGCCCTAACTTGGTACACATTCTACGGGAGTACCGTCTCGGTTTAGTAAGTGCTTTCCACGTTCGACAATAATCTTGCGTTTTTTTATGACGATAACATAATTTTTATTGATGGATAGAGGCATTTGACAAACGAACTTTCACAAGACTGAAAAATACTTAATCTATCCGCGAATAGTTTAATTTATTCAACGTAACAAGACAACTTGGAAGCTCAATTTTCTCTAATTTTAAAATCAGGATATCCTGATCATCATCAAACCTAATTGCGCTTAATTTCGTCTTAGATATACAGTATTTTTAGGAGTTTCATTGAAACGACCATTCTGTAAATTCCGTAATTTTAAAATATTTGTAATGTTCGAAAGACATACATATGATACATACCTCATCCATTTCTCTATAGACTGAAAAGGACAATGATGTTTTATATAGGGCAGAGCTACGTTTTTGGCTTTGAACATAATCGCTTTTAACGCTTTGCGTGGTATTTTCCAACATAATTTTTTTCTGCGGTATAAATTTTTTTCGAAGTAAATTTTCATAAAAATGTTAAAATATCAGAAAATAAATGTGAATTAATTTTCCTAAACTGCCATGATACCATATCACCACCCAAACAACATAGAAATATAGTTCATTCGGTAATATTATTATAAAAAAATCAACTTACCTGGGCATGGTTGTCTGTTACATGTTCTGCTCTCTGATTGTTCGCATTCTCTGGGGTCATCGGTCATATATTCCACTTTACAGGCACGAGAACGGACAGACAAACCTCCTCCGCAACGCTTGGTACATCTCTCCCATCTTGACCATTTGCCCCAACGGTCTTCAAATTTAGCCGGCACTGAAATTAAGATAAAGTTTTCGTTGCGTTGTAAACATTTCGAATATCCTGATAACGCCCCGCCACTAATTTTGGGGTCAGTTATGTTCGTTTATGTTTATCTGTTTGTTAGGTTATGATAAGTTGAAGGAATACCCTAACCAAATTTATTCCAACCTAATGTAAGATAAATAGAATCAAGCAAAACGGATTGGAAAATTAGTCGCGGAGAAATGACAGTACAGTACCATACTTTGTTTCAGAATCTTTACCCATAATAAGAGTTCGAAATAGCAAAAGGGTAGCGATATCAAATCGTAACCGAATTATCATCGCAGATAAATTCGCTTTGGGAACTTAGTCGTGCCGGCCAGTTCGTGCCAACCGCTTCATTGCATACCATACCTAGTTTTTAGGTAATACCAGTAATTATTAATCCTTCAAAAGAAGATTTCACGTAATATTAACTAATATATGCCAAACTAAATACCATCATCATTGCCCTTATCATTTTCCATTAGTTAAAGATAAAACATAACACGAGGAAATAGAAACCGTATGATTATCCCGGATTTGACATTTTTACGTAAGAAAACCATAATTATAGTTAATAGCTGATTAGGAGGAAGGCGGTATATAACGCGTAATTAACGTACTAATTCGATAGTTAGAAGATATTTTTCGTTCTGTGTTCAAAGAACTTAGCTTCGACAATTGATGCCCCAAGCTAGTTCACGTGTCAAAATTCCGATAATCTTCTAAAATCAATTTAAATTTGATATTTCGTTTCTAATTTTATCGTACTGAGGTATAATTAAGGTCAACTAATATATGGATTAGGTTTAATCTGTTGTCGCTTGGGCTGTGATCTTATTACTGCTAGAAATATTGTAAATTTCAAGACAATTAGTTAAAAAAGTTAAATCTACGTTATAGTCGGGATTCTTACTGTGGTTAATAATATCATTGGCGATATTTCTTTGCTCTATTTATCAAAACACTTTTAAACGTCGAAACTATTTAATAAGAATTTCCCTGAAGCGTCGATCGTTCATATATCAAACCCCCTTTCTTATTTATTATTTATGGCGAAAGGGACTTTGCTCAATATTTAACCATACGAATATATGAATTGCGCAACTTCAAGACAACACATCCCAGTATGTTATGCGCTGTGATATCTTGGCTAAATTTATATATCGAATACTTTTTCATTTTTACTCGAATATTCATTCATAATTGGCCCAGCCAGGATTGCTTTTTGCGTTCCAACTAAGAATTCATATTGGTAATCGTACTGTTTCCGAACCCCTGCATCATCAATATAATATTTTTACTAAGTTCAATTCATTCGGAAATATTGTTACAATACTTAAGTTCTTTCTGATTCATAAGATATTAGCGTAAGGTAATAAATACATGGCTTAAACAACCAGAATTTGAAATGACTAATTTTGTATTTCTATGATTATTACGGGATTTAGAGTCGAGTAATACGAGTTCAATGTTTTGAAACATATAGGGCGCACCTATGGTACGTGCAACGCGGACACCTGAACATAGTATGTGTACCAGGTCAGGGTTAGGCCAAAATTTTATTCAAATGTTCCTTATTTTAGTTGTATTACGAGTTTGGGGACTAGCCAAGTGACTCCGGTAGTATTTGTACCTGAAATTATGGTCTAACCCTAACCTGATACACATATACGTTCCGGTGTCCGCCATCTTGTTGCACATACTACGGGAGTGCCAAATATAGCTGCTAATCTTCATTTAACACTATTAATGCTCAATGGTATGGACAAAAGTAATGAATGAACGATACCTATCTCGCTTAGTCTCAAATGACAATAACAAATAAAATTTTACTTACATAGTGTTCCCTCTAATCCGCCGTTTGCCATTTTCTGTAACATCGTCATAATGGAAGAATCGATGGATGGTGACATACCGTTGATATTTTGTACGATACCTAGATGTAATAGTCATAAACAATTTTAAAGTCTGTAATTGGTATAACTAAATATACTCGTGCTAATATATAGAAGCTAGTGTCTCATTCATGTGAATTTTGATCATACGACCATACTTCCACGTAACACTTAAATTTTTTTACGATTTACAATAAAGGTTTTGAGCCAGTACCGTTCAACTTCCCAACTTAAGTTTCGAAGATAACATTATAAACGAACGATATTGATGCCTATTGCATCAGAACGTCTAGAATAAGATTAGTAGTTGTCTCTTTTACTGCTGGGAGAGATTGAATGACCTTGTTTTGAAAAATAAGATTTATATAGAAGACTTGTATAAAAAATAAGATTTAGAACAAAATCGTCTTACCTCCGAAAACCTTGGAGATTTCTTCCTTGATAAGATCTTGCATTGTTTCCTTCATATGCTACAAAATGAAGCAAAGATATTTTTTAGACTCATTATTGCCTAGCTATCAATATTTCTCCACTAAAGCAATGTGTACGCAAGTTTCGATTGACGGCCTGCCCTAGTGGTTAGCGTATTGGATTCCAATATGTTAATGTCTCGAAATTTCGAATTCAAATACTATGTCCACCATCTAACAATAGCTATTTATCAGGGAACTAGTTTGAGTCGACATGATGAAGCGTTCCATATAAATGTCACTTGAACCTGTCGAAAAATACATAATAACATTCGAGGTGTAATAATTCAAATACGTTGTCAAGTCTGTAATATTTTTAGCATTTTCCTTCAAAATACGTTCGAAACTTTATCAAACTAAGAATTGATATCTCGACCATATGCTCTCTCCAATTTGTGTGAGCACTTTGGAGCGCTACCATGGCAGACTTTGACAAAATAGAAAATGACGTTCTCAAAAGATGTTTATGGGTTATTGTTAAGCGGAGGGAGAACACTCCACGTCAGTTAAAACAATCGTACAGAAATTTCAGAACTAATTGTAAAAATAGAACCTCCATGTTGCATGAGCTGCATTCTTTCTTGTCATGGTCGGGTTTTGCCATCATGCCTGTTGACATTGAAGTCGACTGTTGTTTCATCATTCCCGTGGAACTATGATCTTTTGAACTCTGACCCAACATGGGAATATCCATTTTCTTCGCGTACATTTGAATATCTTTGTCAGACATTGGATAGCACACCATTTTCATGCCGTCGTCATGGTGGTCATCATCATCGTCGTCATGATGATCATCGTCGTCGTCATGGTGATCATCATCGTCGTCATCATGGTGATCATCATCGTCGTCGTCATGGTGATCATCGTCGTCGTCATGATGATCATCATCAAAGTCCAATCCGAACATACTTAGATCTACATCTCCAACAGCTTCCATCAGCATTCTCAAAGTTGCTTCATCTGCGCTCACGATAAACTGCATCGCTTTCATCACTGAATCCAATATGTTTTCTTCAGTAACCTTGCCTTCAACTCCTATGAATGAAGAAAAATGATCAAAAAGAACTGAAATATATTGAGGTATGGTTAAATTTTATGAGAAAGTTTCATTTTAGCGTAAATAGGTGTAATTTAATGGTATTTTTGCATACAAAAACAACTTACAGTTAAAAAGAGAAAGCTCGAAATGCAAGGATCAAACATTGCAATATTGGGATCAATTTAACAAAAACAATAAAATTTATGAGGTGATTTGACTAATTGCCATTGGAGGTATCTTTTTCTTTTGGGTTTCTGAACTATATAGAAGATCACAATGAACGCCAAAGAGTGAATTTTTGTTGCTAAACTACAGCCTTAAATTTTCACTCACCAGCCATTTTCATTATTTTTTCGAATGCTTCCATAATTTCTTCTTTTTCGTCATGGTCATCATCATGATCGTCATCGTGATCTTCATCATCGTGGTCATCATCATGGTCGTCATCATGATCGTCATCGTGGTCCTCGTCATGGTCGTCATCGTGGTCGTCATCATGATCGTCGTCGTCATCATCATGATCATGGTCGTCGTCATGGTCATGGTCGTCATCATGGTCATGATCATCGCCATGGTGATCATCGTCGTCGTCATGGTCATGGTCATCATCGTGGTCATCCTCAACGTTTAGGGGTTGCTTTATTTGAATCAAGCCTAGAAGAAATTCTGCATTGAGTTGATCAGGCTGGAGCTCCCCGCTTTGTAAAATAGAGATTAATGTGCCAATATCGACATTTTCAATCATCGCCTTAACTTGTGGATCATCTAGAAGTTTTATTATTGGACCAATATCAAGTTGCTCAATAAGAAATTTCATTGATGGATCTTGAATCATCGCAATCAATGATTTCGTGTCGAGACCAAGAGCTCCAATGTCAAATCCACCGAGATTTAGACTTGGTGGTACACTCGTTTCCTCTTTCATTGGAAGTCCTTTATCTGAAACACCTGTCATTTCCATCACTTCAGGTACTTCGTTTTCATGTGATTCCTTTCCCGGCTTTCCTGATTCTTCATATTCTTCCTTTTCCAACATTTCTGTTGTTGTGCTCATTCCGTTTTCTGTTTTCATTCCTTGAATCATACCGATTATAAATTCCTTGTTTAGCTGTCCACCATCTCCTGCTGCACTTCTTAGGAAAATCATCAATTCCTCAGGTTCCATTTTTTCCACCATAGAGAGTATTTCCGGGTCATCCATCATTGTTAAAACTGATCGAATACCGAGTTGTTCTACAACTGCCGACATTTCTTGACCTCTGAACTGGGCAATCAATTCTTTTGATGACAATCCAAGAGTTGAAACATCAAAGTTCATAAGGTCAATATTTTCCATAGACATTGTTTTCGGCATTTCAATCATTTCATGACCATCCTCTTTTTCTGACATTTCGGGCAATTTCATCGTGTCTGTTACTTCTGGTGTTGGTATTTCTGGTTCTCTCAATCCTGTCATCATCTCCATACCGTCAGTTATCATGCCCTCGCCCATCCCATGTGTGGTACTCCCACCCTCCATAATTGTCATATCGTCTGGTGACATGCCCCCACCCATTTCATGAGTGGAACTACCATCTTTTGTTAAAGACATTTCTGATTCAATTGCCATTTCTGGTTTCTTCACGCCTTGCTCTTTTTCTGGCATTTTCATCGTGTCTGTTATTTCAGGGGTTGTAATTTCTTGTTCTCCCATACCTTCAGTTATCATGCCTTTTCCCATTCCATGCGTGATACTTCCACCTTCTACCATTGTCATACCGTCTGTCGACGTGCCTCCACCCATTTCGTGTGTAGAACTTCCATTCTTTGTCGATGACATTTCTGATTCAATTACAACCTCTGGTTTCTTCATGCCTTGAATTAAACTTGTAAGACCTTTGACATCCATTTCCCCAGAGCTAAGTTCTGGGTTCTGCAAAAGTACCATTAGTTTGTCCATGTCCATGGTTTCAAGCATAGCTGTAATCTCAGGGTCGTCGAGGAAACCTAGGATTGGTTCAAGCCTCATAGTTTTTACCATAAAATACATAGATGGATCTTTGAACATTTCAATCAAGCCCTTCGCGTCCAACCCAAGTTGTGATATATCGAACCCACCAAAAAATCCACCAAGTCCACCCATATCCGGTGTCATTGGTTCATCGTTCATAGGTCGCGGCATATGACTTCCGGGTTCAGAGTGATCATTATCAGAATCCGTCACCGTGATTGAAACTCCTGGCACTTCCACGCCTTTGCCAATCATATTTTTCACGATATCAAGTAATTCAAGTCCAAGATCAGTATCTTCATGTTCTTCTTCTTTTTTCGATTCAGGCTTTTTCATATCTTTCTTTCCCTTCGGTTTCATTTCTTTCTTTCCCTTCACCATTTTTTGCAGCATTCCAGAAACTTCTCTCAATGTTTTCATGTTTATTCCTGGCTTTCCTTCAGTCTCCATCATAACAACACCGAGAAGTCGAGAAGCTTGATCAAATAATTTATTAGATAATTCTTTTTCATCTTTCTTTTTCTTTCCCGACATTTTTCTTCTCTTTCCGCCTTTTCTGGACTTTGATTTTTTTTCCATATAGCACATCATTGGTCGACCTCGTTCACCGTCCCGCATCATCCGTTTTCCTTCCGCCATCATTTCCTTGCCTTTTGGCATTGGCATCATTGTTTTATCATCGTGGTCATCATCGTCATAGGTATCACCTCTAGCTAACTGTTCCGTTAAACAAACGATCAGAACTATCCCAAGAAGCGCCTTCAAGGCCATCTTACAGGGTGGAATTATAGACTAAATGAATATTAAAAAAGAAATCATGAAAAAGGACATACATAAAAACGAATATAGCGTCAAAGAAAATAGCATTAGACGGATCCGGGAACAAAATACGCCGCTCCAGAAGTGCGTGTACCAATATGGCGGTAACTAATTTTGTTCGCCAATTTTACATCAAGTTGTGTAGAGGGACTGAAACCTATGGGCAGGGAGTATATTCACTTGACTAACACAGAAAGTCCCCGAACTTGTACTAGAACTAAAATTAGAAAAATCGAAATAGAATTATGGCCTAACCCTAACCTGGTACACACACTACGGAGTACCCAAAATACTGCTATTGCAAAAAAGTCCCCAACATGCGACCTACGATACCTGGAAGCCTGCATTTTGACAATAAATTCTATATTCTTTATAACATTAATATACAAGCCGAGATTAAATGACGTGAATAACTGTCACCATAGCGCCAGCCATTGATATGCACATACGCCCAACGCTCTAACCTCGAAGCCAATGCGTCCATATTATCCAGCCTCTTTATTTGGGCTTAATATCGCGGCTATAAGTACTAACGCCCATTGGCGACCTCGTCTCTTCCCGAAAGAATACACTTCCAGTTTATTTAGGTCAACGAATCAGGACTAAATCTACGTAAGTTAAATTAACGTGAAAGCGTTATATAAAACTAAACAGCTCATTTTTGTCTCCATATACCTTATATATACTTCCAACTGTGACTACCAGAACAGTAACAAAATTGAAATTATAAAGATAAAAATTCTGTATATACTTTTTATATACTTCCAATTTATCCATGAGTTGTATAGGGTGTCCATATTGTCTGATTAATTACTGATTAAAAAACAACAAACCTGATTGAGATATACTGAAAGCTGACTTCATAACAATTAAATTGTATAGGTAAAACCCTATATATACGTTTAATATACTTCAACAATGACTACCGGAAAAGTTACTGTACAAACACATCACTTATTAGATTTCAGTCAAAAAGCATACCAGACCAACGGTGAACAGACCATCCCTAGTTACTCTATAATAGTTAATACTTTCATCACACTGCTTCGCCAACGTAAAACTATTCAAGTGCAACAGGCTGCGTGACTTTTATATAGATTTCCAATAGCACGCTCTTTCGAAAATCATACGTCCGGTGAACGGCGACCCTCTATTAGCAATTAAATGACCTCTAATATGACTTCGCCAAAGCCCTGGAGCAAGATTTAATAGAACGGAGATGACACGCGACAATCGTTGACAAAATAAATAACATAAACCGATTAGAATCTGGCTTAGCTGGATAATATCCAGCGATATAGTTTGTCCATTATTTTAATAGGCTCTGTTTACCTTGGACACGATGTCAATCAAAAATGACTTATGTTCATACCGCTAATTTTGACCTTCATTGAAAATCTATGACTTCGAATCTGGCAGACGTGGTGATCACGGACTGATATAAATCTCAAAATCTGCATTGCCAACATGACTAGGCGCCCCATTACCAAGTCAATCTTTCGTGTTGTTCTCATTCAATTGCCCTTGCCGATATTCAAGACAAAAACATTTACTCAACACGATTTGTGATGAAACACGATAGATATCGTGGCGTCTCACGAATATATTTGTCTGAAAATTTTATAATTCGTAAACGACAATAGTTCAAGTTTTGGAAACATCTAATTAAAAATATGAAATTCTGAACTAAACAATTTTATCAGCGCGTACAAGGAGGAAATCAGGCGGCTCAGCCTCAATGAGAAAGCCTTATACTCGAATTACCACTTTTACCATGAATCCCATTCCATAGACTTATTATTCGATAAACGTTTTCACGCGAATGGGCTGCTTTCCTGTGGCAGGTGTTCTTGCATTTTATGCTCTATTCGATTACTATTTTTTCAGGTGATGCGCGGTGGATCATTAGTCTCTAAGTGCAATCTAGCTCTCATACCGCATCTAGCTCAAGCCGCATCTGGTTAACATGAGCTACAAATTGACAATCTAAACTGAAAATTTAAACTGGATCAACCAGCAGAAACTACTAATAATACTGTATTAACACTCACACAACACAGCCACTCCAATACGCCCTTTCTCTGTGGTCGTCCCAAAGTTATGGAGTAATGCGTTATAATTTTATCTCTTTAATATCAGTGACAAATTGATTTAAAAAGCTCGATTAATTATAATACAATTGAGATTAAACTATAGGGCTACGCCCAAGATACCGAACGAGAGAATGGTGGCGACAACGCCCCGTGCAAGAAAAATATTTAGAACTAATTATAAACAAAATAAGTAAATTATAAACGCCAATTTCTAGCTTCTTTGTATGCTCAAAGGTACTCCCGAAGTATGTGAACCAAGATGGCGGACACCGGAAAGTAGTATGTGTATCAGGTTAGGGCTATGCCATAATTTCAGATACAAATACTATTAGTCACTTGGCTAGTACCCGAACACGTAATAGAACTAAAATAAGGAAAATTGGAATAAAAGTATGGCCTGACCCGAATCTGGTACACATACTACGTTCCGGTGTCCGCCATCTTGGTTCACATACTTCGGGAGTACCAATTCAAACTTGGCCAGCTTATTTGCCATTTTCATTTCGAATTGATATAAAAGTTTTAACACGAAAACGCAGAACTGATTATGGAAACAGTAAGTAAAGTCAAAAGTGACGATTCCGGATTTCTTCATTTCAATCCAAGCTTAACGAAGAAGCGAAGCGATTTTTGTGCTTTGGCAAACTCGTACGAAGACAAGTTACTTTTCCTATTTGTCTTTTTAAATTGATGAAAAAGCTTTGAACTTCATATCAATGCATGTTTTGGTACAGTCGAATGGATGCGATTTTCTAATAGTTACATCACTGGTTTATATACCTTGCACTAGCGGCCTAGACAATCACAGTAGCGCCTGATTTCTAGCAGTAATTAATCAGCCCACCAACCCATCCTAAGCGTAATAATATTAACAGGCAAAGCCGAGGCTGGAATTTGGTTGAAAAATGTTTCAAAACGCGATAGCATTGATAGTTAACTAACTGGCCGCTTGCTTCAGAAAATTCACAGTTCTATTAATAAAATGTTACAAGGCAAACGTGTCTCTCAACTCGTAAAAGAATTATTCAAATTAGCTGCTGCATCCTCGTATAAAAATCACAAAATTGACTGACATACGATAGTGAACATAAAATTTGTTTTAAGCATGATTTTCTATTCAATCTGCTGTCAAATTGGATTATATTTGAATAGCGTGTATTATTACTTACCCATACATGAGTTTGAAATAGTCACTTAGGTACATTTCGGTAAAAAAAAATCTAAACGAAGTAACTACAAAATACCATTATTTTACGTGTCGTGTTCATAGTAAGAGAATCATAAATCTTGACTTCTAAGTTATTTTTATGACTTAGCGACTTTATAGTAATAAACGTGTGTCTGAATATACCAAACTAATTGAGTGAATAGTCGGTAAAGAAAATTAAACAAAAAAGCGAAAGCAAATGGCAGTAAGAGATTTACTTGCAGTGTATAAAATATGTTTTATCGTAATAACAATTGAAAATGTCGACGGATTTTATAGTAATAGCAGTTGTGAGTTTAAATAAATTTCATTGTATGAAAATTGAGAACTACGACCACAATAAGAACTAATAATAAACAAAGACTACTATAAAATCGGGCAAAATTTGCGAACACCCTGTATGTGTGAATAATGTCGTTAAACTAAGATTCAGGATAAATTGTATTCAAACAGCATGGTATTTGAACATTCAAATAATTAAATCTACAGTTTTTGTCGGGATAAATGTGCGAGTATTCATAACGTACTGTTGCAATAACGTGTTAGTTAAATATAGCAAACAAATTGGATAAATAACGATAAAGAAAATAAAAAAGAGAATGGTGATAGGGTTATCTAACACTTTATGTGTAAATAAAGTTATATGCCTGAAATTTTTATTTAAAACGTATTGTTTTTGAACATTCGAGTAATCAAATTTACAGATTTTATCGGATATTATGCGACCATTTATAAAATCCTGTAACAGTTTCAATTTTGTTTCAGTTAGTTCTCAAAATATCCTAATCAGGTTTATTTTATTTTAATCAGTGTTTATTCAAGTTATTTTACTTAATCCAATACACCCGTAGGGCCAGAAGACTGTACATGGCATCAATAAATTAGCTTGCGATTAGAAAAATTTTTGGACTTCATGAACACCCTGTATTTATTTATTTTTTCATTTATATGTCGACAATTCCAATCGGTGACGATCCATTATGGGTTTTGCCCTTATTTACGGAACATAAGGCGCGCTTTAAATTCCCTTTTTTCCCTAAAAATCAATCGTGCGCCTTATAATCAGGTACTACCAGTACTGCTACTATTGTTTTATAAAAAAAAACGGTCGTTTTACGTTTTCTTCGAATAAAATTACAGTAACCATAAAAAAATATTAAGTTTTTGTTTAATAAGTTTTGCACGGTAACCCAATACTCCTTAAAAATCGTTGCGTCTTATAGTCCGGGTGCGCATTATGTATGGACTTAGCAATGTACTGACGATGTACTTCATAACCGTTGCCTGCGCTTTCGCTCCGTAAAATACCGCAGTACGGCGTATATTATAGATACAGACGGATAAAAAAATTCATGGCTGCGGTTCAAGTCTTCGCACAGTACAGGCTAATATTTCAGCATAGGTTTAGAATCTGAGCTATTTGACCTGCGATTACAACATAGGTAATACCAACACTGTGACCGCAAGACTAGATGAACAGGGCTACTCAACTATTTTCACTAAAGGTCCGTTCACGAAACTTCGATATTACTGGGGTCCGGACATTACAGAAAATTCATTTCATCAAATAAACGAAACTTCAAATGCAATATTAAGTTAAATACAAGAGAAATAAGTGGCTCGCAAATATGGACTCAAATATCGCACATCGGTACCAGTACGACAAACTGTATAGCTGTGTATTTAAAT